TGAATATTATCGAGCATTTATGGTCAATTTTAGAGATACAAGTCAGTTGTCGATTACAGCCGCCATCATTTTTAAAAAGAACTGGAGGGAGTTTTAGCTGAAGAATGGGTTAAAATTCCTTTGGAAAAAATTCACAAATTGCATGAATCAATACCTCGGAGAATTGAGGCTGTAATTTCCGCAAAAGGTAACCTACGCAATGCTGAAATATATTTTGTGGATTTCTCAGGTGCTTATCTTATTTTGTCTAACCTTTGTTTGTTTTCCTTTGAGAAAAACTATTCTCAGGAATCAAAACATGAGTTTTTATTAATTTTATTGCATATAATCGTTTAAAATGAAAGATATCTACTGGAATTCCGTTCAAAATTTGCTTCCTTCGAGCGAATGAAGTATGATTCCCTTTTAATAACTCATTCATTGCTACAATTGTCAATAATAAACTCTGCAAGCTTAGCGTGCTCAAACATAAACCAAAAAGTGTCACTGAAAATGATTACAGTATTTTCCATACAAACTAGACATTCAATATTGTTAGTTGAGGCTATAAAATATTACTAATATTGATTACAATGTATATCAAATGAATTCGAAGCTCTACCCTATCTTCATCGTAAAAAATAATATTGCAGCTGAAATTGTCATTCAATGATTTTTTATATTAGTCGTCTGCTCTGTTTGTAAAGCTGAGAACCGTTGAAGCTTCAGGATAGAACAGTTCAGATTGCACGCTTGATTGGAAGTCAAGACTAGCGGCAAAAATGCCAATCAATGCGTAAGTCATCACAAAATTAACAGGACAACAAGGGTAAATTCCATTCAATCCCCATCGCAGTGAACATAATTTTTCTATTCGGTCGTTCAAATTTCATTAATTACCTTTATTATTATATTAATTTGTTGACACTGGAAGTCTGTTTATTTGCAGAGCAACAATTCTTTGATTCGCACTTAAAAAACCCTAATGAAATGTATCATTTACATTTTAAACTTTTTAAAAGAGTTTGCTCGTGGTACAAACAGTAGAGTAATCGCAGGATGCATTTTCAGCAAAAAATAGACAGACACACCGAACTTTTGCTGCAACTTTGAGCGAGAAATTTTCCATTTCGGCTACCCAGATTTTCTTATTCAGCTTACGCCAGTTTGTGCTTGGCTCGAAATTCTCGAACAGAACGAGAAATTAAATGGGTTTTCCAAAGTGTCTGGGCAGAGTGAAGTCACACCAGAAAATATTTTTAGATATAATTTTTTTGCCAGCGATAGAAGTGACAAAAAAATAGAACTTGATTTTGCTTCAACTTCAGAAGACGAAATTCAGAATACGCTGCATATCCATTAAATTAATAGTTGATGGAAAACGAAGTAAAAGATGAACCGTTTGTAGCAAGGAATTTTAGAATGATGAAGTTACCTCTGGAAAATATAAAATAATCATTCAATTAGATATTGCAACTTTTCTGATGTAAATCTACAATATTTAATCAAAGTTAGACTTTATCATTAAACTTTCTCATTAGATTCATGCATGCATCATTTGCGAGGTGTTTTCCACGCAATCAACATTACAGTGATGAAGATCAAATTAAGTAATACTTAGTTCTTTTATAAACCACAGATTTTTCTCTCCTGATTCCATGTTGCACTTCGTACGACGAAGGTTCACATGTTATATATGTCAGCTCGTTGCTGTTGACAGTAAAATTCGGGGTCCCCCCGGTTTTACCCCGCGCCACTACGCGTATTGATACTTGTATCTTTCAACTTTATACTCATTTGACGTTGCTTAAGGGAAGCGCATGTTTTTAAGGGTAGACATCGTGAGATGTAGGATGCTTTAGTTTATTGGTATTGATATTAAAATGTAGGGGGCATTAGGATATTCTGGTTCACTCTAGGCTCGTGTTGCACGCGTAAAAGCCTAGCGAAGACATCCGAGTCGACGAAACTACCGAACAAATGCCTGACTAATGCAATGTAAGGAGACATTATTGCTGTAGCCACCATGAAGCCTGGGCACAAATTGTGTTTATTTGGCCTCAGAAGAGTAATTATCCTAAAATAAGATTCACTCGGGTAATGTTTTGATCATGTATGAAATATACTGAGTTACTCTCGTGTCGAGGCAAAATTTCTGTGTCGCCTTCAATGTTTTGAATGTTAATGTATTTTTTTAAAACTGGGGTTATTCTTTATTTTCGTTGGCTTGATAATGGCTAAGACGAATTTAGACGAATTTTTATGAGGAATTTTCTCTGAGAAATAATCTGTCCTGAAAACCGTAAAGATTTGAGAACAATTATAAGGCGGGTGGCGTAATCATTTCTGCAGTGGGTTACTTTCCCTTAATCGTGTTGAAAGCTGGAAGACAGTTTGAATGGGCACCATGAATTAACAATTAAGAAATGAAATGAATTTACAATTTAATTTAAGAGAAATGAAACTCATTTAAGAACAAAACTTTAGTTAATTTAGAACTAAAAATCCAACGAAAATAGGAATATTGTTATTCAAAACAAACAGTAATAACCAAACTATACTTTGAAAAATTAAAAATTTTATGACTGGATATAGTAATTAAGGTATTACCATGAATTTACTATTGCTAATGAATTTATACTTCTTTTTCAATAAATCACATTTCGATATACGAAATGAATTTCGATGCTGCATTCTTGAAATAATAACAAAAGTCCGCTACAAATAACTTAAATTATAAGCCGCATAAAATCTATGTAACGTAAGTTAATTAGGAAAACAATGAATTGTTCGTGGGTAATACAATTTTTAATGAATACAATGTGGCTCAGCCGTGTATAATTACCTGCCATTGAGCTTGTTTCGCCAGGCATCGGCCTTAAATTGGCATCATTAAACCTAATGAGGATCGCATAAACAAATTCGACTCAGTAAATGTGAGCAAGATTTTTCTAAACAAATTTTGTAATTAATCAGACATTGTTGTGTTAAAGCATTAAATCAACTTAAGGAGCCATTTATTCTCGTATTATCAGCCGAACTGTGATGCATTGTTTGCAACGTAGTCTAAATTACTTTCTGAACTCTGATGCACTTTTAAATGCCGCATTAACAGTTTAAATGTGTTACATTTTACCAGCATGCCTATTATAAACCAGCATTTATATTATAATTACCAGCATGCATATTATAAACAACACATTCTGTTTCCGCCGGAAATAGCGTATTATCTGTATAAATGCGATACATTTTGTAATGTCATATTATTAGATGAAATGTATGATGCGTTGTTAAAATCTTAGTTATTATGGCATAAAAAAGTAACATTTTTCTGCGAGATCGCAAATGTCGAGGTTATTCCTAAAGGTCGCTTTTAAAGGAGAGAATATCGAAGGGATTAGGGAGCAGAATAAAAAACGCATTATATTAATATGTTTATTGAATAATTATAAATCTAAGAACTTAATTAGGGTGCGCAAAATAGCTTGGAAATCACCTTCATAGGAAACAACACATACCACAAAATGTGCCCTGAGGGACTGGCTTATCGCACGTTCTTCACGAACACTTGGTTACGGGAACTGTTGCCTGTGCAAACATTTGCTACTTTCTTTCCTGTTGAATGTTTGGTTTACGGAAAAAAAGGCTGGCGATGGAATGTAATTTAATTTAATTAGCGCCACGGTAGTTAAAATCATTGGAGCTGGTTTAGAATACTCGGTCTCAATCATCTCATCCTCCAACGTCATTCGTTCAAAATCATGGTTTCGAAGGCCTATGGGCAAAGGCCGAAAGTACAAGACGGTATCCTTGTAAAATTCATCCCCGATCTCAAGTTAGAGCAATGCATGCTTTATTACTGCATAGGTGGTTCGAGGAGCTTGACGAAAAATCGTCAAGTTCTAGGACCTGCAGCTATGATGGTTCTGGGAACCGCGGCCTGTTGCGGAGTTTGTAGCCGAACTTTGACACGCTCTGCAATGTTTTATCGCCAACTGAGCCGAGATGCGGTACCAGTCCACTTGTGACACATTTCTAAATACCGTTGAGCTGCGAAGTGCTCTGCAATGCACTGCACTAGCAAAGAAGAACGAAATGAATGAAAAGCCGTTAGAAATTCTATTCTCTAAAACTTCTACAGTAGAATCGAGTAACACCAATGCGACACAGTCAGTGCCACGCGCAAAATTTTTCCAGAAGCAGGTACGGCAGAAAAACCTCTTGCATCCATTTTAGTAGCAACTGTCATTGCTTCAGGAACCACCATGTAAAAAATTAGCTTGCTGTACCACCATAATTAAAGAAGATATCAGCTGTTCTATTGGGAACACAAGCGACAACGTCAGTCCAGTAGCGAAGTTGCGGAAAACCAGCTGCACCAGCAATAAAATTATAACATTAAGAACAGCCATTATAGGCACTATATCAGCACCAGCAGGCTAGAGTCTGCATCAGCATCACAATCAACCGCCAGAGCACTAGTATTAGTTCCAGTACCAACCCGAGGCCTGTTGCAATAAAGCCCGAGCAAGGCTGCATGTCGGAACAACTTTGTCGTGCTGTCCAGCGGCTACTTTCGCTCAGCCCTCATTTGTTAGCTCATTTTAGCGATGTATTTTCCCTCGCTGGACGAGATGACAAATGCCCTCGTTTATTGCCACATGTTCCTGGTGTGTTGACTTGAGCTGCGCTATTTTGTTTCCTGATGTTCCATTCCCTCAGAGGGACCCATAAATTTAGTCCTGATTTGTTGAGATAATTTTATAATTATGCAATAAGTTAATTTGTCGCAGTGTCGTGGCTCGACTCGTAACATGTGCAGGTGGATTATTGAACCACAAATAGTTCGAAGCATAATAAGTTCTTCAATTAATTGTTCTTCCTTGCAGATATATTTTCAAAACAAAAATTCAATGTAGAAAAACACGCAAATTGTAATGCGTCAATTGAGTCGTATGTCAAAATATTGAACATTTTGCATAAATGTAACTGAAATTGTTATTGAAGCTAATCGATTCCGAAGACTTAATCAATTAACAATACTGTATATCCAAATTAGCTGGAGTCAACTCCGACAAATCTGTTGTTATAAACACATTACAAAATTATTTAAATTAGTTGATTATTAAAATTATCTGGTCGTCATGTTTGACATCAAAGTTTCTCTTGCGATCACGGTCTTCTTCATGGCAGGTCAGTACGTTAATCTTCGATGTTAGCTAAACTTTTGTAGTGTTATATTTACTTTTCTATTATTTTTAACGTATTTTCAAATTCTAGAAAGCTTGTTCAGAATAGGAACTGTTAGTACTTATTATTATTTTGATTAATAATATTATAACTATCACTAACAATCAATCCGCAAACAGGTGCTGGTTTAGTTTATGTTAAAATTCTAGTTTCATAGGATGACAACGAACAACGCGCACCACCTCATCATTATTTTGGAATAATTTTTGTCATTACGTACGTTCGGAAAAACAAGGACCTCAATTATTTTCAGGTAATTTAATAGAATGTATGCATATACACCTAAATTTAGTCAGAAAATAATTGAACAACTGTACATTTTAATAATTGTAAGGCATAATTTAAATGATTTTTTTTATTGGGGCAGGTATAATGGATGAGTGCTGGACGGCTCGTCTCAGAACAATAAACGCTACCCGGATGGAAACTCATGGTGACAATAAAGAAAAAACCTTCATGCCCACAGACATTTATCCCATTATCTACTCCAAGAACATTAATAATAACGTGACCAAATATCTACCTGGAACCGATTTTGTAAAATTTTCTTCGACAAACTTTCAAAATGATGCTAAGATAAATATGATACCAGTGGATTTTCATGCGATTGCCCCTAATGGCCTTGCATCGACACATGTTAATTATTCTGCAATAAGTAATTCAACCGAATTTGAAATGAAGCGAAAGCCTAAAAATTTTAAATTGTGTAGCCAGTCTCATGACCAAAAGTTGACGAATCACAGTAATTATTCTGACGCTAGAAAGAACTCCCTAGAAGAAAGAACGATTAAATTTTCTCGCGCAGGTATCGATATAAATTCTCTTTCTGATGAGGTCTTCGAACAAAAATTTCAAAATTCAGTCGCAAATTACAAAGCAAAAATTCACAATGGGACACCAGAAGAAATCAAGGAATTGTTCATTAAGGCGAAAAAATCTTCAATAAAAGAATCTAATATTGTTCCAATGAACTTTCTTACCAGCAAAAGAATCCAGGATATTCAATATTCATATTCACTGAACCAACAAAGCAAACCACAAAAGATTATCCATTATAAGCACAAAAGAAATGCTGCTCCAAGCAATCGGGAGTTAAACGATGCAAAAGGTAAAAACGCACGAGCCGAAAAAACGTTTGTTGACCTCAAGGATAAAAACATCGATGGATCGAACGAAGCTTCTGGCGTTAACGAGGAATCGTGGAACGACTACATCGATAAACTCTTCGACCCTGACTTCGACTCGAGCGTTCATACGAACATTTCGGCTGTGGAGGGACAGACTGTGCACATGGGCTGTAGAGTTAACAATCTGGGAACAAAAACTGTAAGTAATTTCTTTATTCTACTAATAATTAATTAATTCTAATTGAATCAATTTATTATACTAATAATTAATGCACGCACAAATTTTTTGCTTGGAACAGAATGATAATTTCCTTAATTTATTGATTACGTAAATTTAACAATGGCAATTAATAACATTTTAAAGGTAAACTGATCAAACTAAAATATATATAATCGAACGTGAGCACTTTGAACGAAATTTACTGCTATAGTAACATCTTGAGTTATAAAGGTAAAAAACCCCTTCGGCTTGAATGACTATTCTATTCATCTTAGTTTCCCTCTATTATAAAGTCAATAATTACACTAACAACATTCACCGTAGCATCGCACATGCAAAATCGAGCTTGGTGCATCGGCTATCGTTTGGGTGATGTTTCGCCTCGAGCTAAAAACGATGTTCATGAATAGCAATGCACTGGACGCGCTAACTTAAGGACTTTTACCCTCAAGACTTGCTTAACTTTAGAGTTTGATGAACGATCTTCGCTGCTAGCTGCCCCCAAGGGCTCCATGAATAAGAGACTTTGGCTGTGAGTCGAAAATTTACGATCCTCTATACTTTGTCTTCGCTTAGCTTGAAAAACCGCTTTTACATTGCAGCCGCGATAATTACTACATTAGAATTGAACACAGCGTGATAGAAAGTTATTAAGGTATTCTAGTAGATATATTTGTATCATTGATCGTATTTAAGGCGAATAAAGAATACATTTTTAAGATGATAAATACATTAAAAAAATATAACTCAGTTAGTTCTCACTGCAGTGAGTGACAGAGAGCGCATTTTCTCGTCGACGAAAACGTGAAGTCACTGACGTACAGACGGACGGACGGACAGACGGACATGGCGAGTACAATAGTGCATTTTTTCCATAAATGAGAAAATGCGCTAGAGAGCCTTATCAAGTAAATTTTCAATGCATAGTCCAATTGAAGTCACATGAAATTTATGTTATTGTATTTCTAAATCAAAACCGTTAAAGAAATTTATGATAATACCGTTCGTTGTCACGAAATTCTTGCCCCCATACCTGAGTTAGAACACATTTTTAGCTAAATACAGATTATTTTACGAAAACCTGTTATAAATTTTTATTTTCTCTAAACTTTTACTCGTTTTAGCGCATTTTCTCATTTATGGAAAACATGCATTATTGTGCTCGCCATGTCCGTCTGTCCGTCTGTCAGTCCGTGACCTCAAGTTTTCGTCGACGAGAAAATGCGCTCTCTATCACTCACTGCAGTGAGTACTGAGTTAAATTTATTAAAAAATATCTTCACAAAAACATGTAAAAACTTCATCCATGAAGTTTGAACTTGTTTTTAAAGAAGTTCAACGACACTGTAAATTCAATTTGAATTTAGATTTAGAAGTTGAAATTTCAAAGCAAGATAAAACGAATGACCGAGACAATTATCAAAGCGTTTGAAAACACAAGCATAGACGTGAACTTTGTTTATTTTGTCGCAGTAAACACATGATGCGAAGCAAGATGAATACAAGCCATTCAAATTCAATCCATTAGCTCCTAATTTTATTTGAGTAAAACGGGACGTAGCTTTTACAAATATTCATTTCTAAAATATTGACGACCAGCCTTTTATGATGCGTGCAGTACAATCTTTTTGACTCGTAAGTCATTCGTGATTGACAGTTTTTCTGAAATTCAGAAGTTCCACTTTGCCCGAATGTGATACGGATGATTTACTCGACATAAACGAGTTTTCTGAAGTAGAATGTTTCATTAAATTTCATATGAATAATATGATAATATTTTTTTATTTTGCCATGATGAAATAGTCTTTTTTACTTTTTTTCTGACTGAATATGCAAAAAATAATCCTGCTTTGCGATAATCACCGTACACTAAAAAATCGTACACTAAAAAACTGCTCATTTGTGGGACCATTCCTCGTTTTTCGTTATGCCTCGTGATGGATTACGTCTGCTTTTGGATCGGGCTTGGCTTCCTCAGTGAAAAACGTTCGTGCGAAAAACAGAATAGTGAAAGGTCTTACGCAACGAAGGGAAAATTGGAATTGTGATTTAAAAGTCAAATTTCACAGAAAAAAGTATTCGAGAGAACAGGACAGGTTAAATTCAAATTTATATTTACATATTTTTTATAAATTCAAAGTATATGCACTAAGATTATTTCGTATTTGCTGTGCAAATTAAAAATGAAAGTCAGTCTTTCAGTTCCGCAGTTGCAGTCTTTCATCCGCGTACCTGTGATAAAGCAAAACCTGGGACACGAATTTCAGTTTAATTTAAAAACGTCAAAACATTTTTCGCGAACGCCCAACAAAATTTCTCAAGATTCTGTCACTTTGAACAATAAGTCATGAAAAACCAAGAGACTTGGGTTTTCGACTTCAGTTGATTTTTGTGCTTGAAGAATTTTCACTAGTTATTAAAATAAAAGTATTTTATTTTTGGAAGTGGGGAACATCAATTCGAAGACACTCCTTCCAGTGCGTGTTCAATTAACTTTTAGGAATAATTTAAGTATTTTGTCTCCACAATGCGTATCCCACTTAATTAAAAACTCTTGCCGATTTAAAGTCAGGAGCCAAGTTTCTCCGATATTGGTATCATGACTTCAAATAAGGTTCCAGATATTCGTGATGACGAACGTGTTTTCGTCGACTGAACTAAAAAGAACCTCGCTCTTGTACCATTGAAGAGTTAATCGACCCTGCGTTTTTTATAAACGTTATACACGCTACCGTAGGACCGGACTACTGCATAAAACTCGACATTTTGTCCCCGATAGTTTTGTGAGTTATTTAGGGTTTCCGTGTTTGTTGTTGGCAGCCATTATGCGGTTCAAATTACTGCCTTTTAAATCTCGATATTTTCGGCCTCTGATTTATCTATATTCCAGAGTTCAGTCCGATCAATAAGGTAAAAGCATTTTATACATTTTATAAGCACATAAGCACATATAAATTTTATAAGGACTCATGATTAGACGATATTTTTTTTGCATGTAAAAACCTGTTTAATTTGCTCGAGAAAAGTATGAGAAAATGTTAGTATAATATAGATGAGTAACGCAATCAACTTGAACTTTTCTTTGAATTATAACCAAAACATAGTTTTCAACTAAAACTTTGTTCAAATTCATCAATGCATGGCATTTTAGACTCACTCTATCAATTCGTATATCGAGCTCATCTGATAAATGTGCAGTCACTAGCCTAGCGAAATTCAAGTTAATTTACCTGTTATTATGTTTTAGTATTTAAAAGATTTTTAGATTTTTCGAATAGTGTATACTGATGATAAAAGACAATCTGACACAACATCAATTTAATTTGAGTTTTACAATAAATAAATCCTGCAAGCGCTCTGATATTTTTTATGATTCTGCGATATTTTGTATTAAAAGAAAAGTCCTTCAACAATCGATTCAAATTTGAGCGAGTAATAAAATTTTCTGGATGTTCTGAGATCGTGAGCGAGCAATTTAATCCCAAGAGCCATTAAGTATTAAGCTGGTAAGTGTATGCTAAGCAAAGTAAAAGTTAAAGAAACTTGTAAATTCATTACTTCAGACGAAATAAAATTTGCAACGAGATTACTTTCGTGGAAAGTTAGTTTAGTGAAATTTAGTTTTTTCACTACCGTGCCAATGAAGGGTTTGACGTAGAAATGTGTTTATTCCCAATCTTAAACATGAAAGTTAACGAGTTACTGTAACTTATGATTATAAACTAATAATTATTCATTAAATTTCATTTATATATTCCAATAAAGCTCATTATCCGTTATAAGTTATACTATAATAAATACAATTTCGTCAATCAATCTTCCGCAGATGGGGTATAAATCAAATTGACCGGGGATGTAATTTCAACTGAACGTGAAGATTTCCTCGTGCCCACGGTAGACAACTATGAACTCGCCTGTTAATCCTTCCCAAATAGTTGAGATAATGTTTAATACTTACAACATAATACCGGACGCGTAAAACGAGCTTTTCCTAAACGATTTGTTCAGTTAAATTCCTTAACTACCGGACCTAATCTGTTGCACATTTACTGAGTAATCTGTATGTTCTTGAGATGCGATAGCTTAAAATGTTTGTTGTGAGATGTTTGTTTGAAAACTGTTTGCGAAATCGAAACACGCATCAATTATTGCTCCTGGATGAAAGCTACTAATAAAAAATTCGTTCACACAAATTTCAAATAGACTTAAGTTAATTAATATTTACTTAGTAAGAAAAATAATCATATTAGCGAGGTAGAGCATAGTTTATTTATATATTGCCAAAAATTCCAGTTGAATGCTTGATATATTGGATGAATATCCTTAGACTCGATGAGAGTAATGAATTAAAAGTCAAGTGATATGAGTGGGAAGCTCAGGCACGTCCTTACTATGGCACAATTTATAAGGAACTTTAATTTGAACTTTAATTTGGCCATGAACACGAGACGTATCACACGTATAATACATGTTGTCTCTTACTTTAAACTTACCTCACTTTTAATAATGTATATTTTCACTTGATTGAGACACGCTTCACATATAATGTATGTCCTCAGATACACTACCTCAACTACCTCAAAACAATTTAAATCATCACATACTTTAAAATTACCTCGAAGATGATTAGTACTCTCAATTTACTCGAGACGTAACTCACATTTAAATTTAAACTCATCGAAGTATAAACACATTTACCTTTAAATAAATTTAAATTTGAACACATCTAACTTTGAACAAATTCAACTTTGAACAATTATCAACTATGGACAATTTTCAACTATGAACAATTTTCAACTATGAAAACATTCAACTGCCAATGACTAACATTTAATTTTAAACAAATTGAACTTCAAACACATCTAATTTTAATAAAATTTGAGTTTAAACAAATTGAACTTTGAAAAAAATTAACTATGATCATATTCAACAGTGAAAAACTAATATTCAATTTTAACAAATTAAACTTCGAACACGTTTAACTTTGAACCTATTAAACTTCAGACACATTTAATTTTAAACATGTTAAACTTCAAACACATTCAGGTTTAATCAATCTTAATCTTAAGCATTCAACAAAAAATATAACTCAGTACTCACTGTAGTGAGTGACAGAGAGCGCATTTTCTCGTCGACGAAAACGTGAAGTCACGGACGGACAGACAGACGGACAGACAGACGGACGGACAGACGGACATGGCGAGCAAAAAAGGGCATTTTTTCCATGAATGAGAAAATGCGTTAAAAATAAATCTCGTGTTTACCTGCACCAGGTATCATGGATACGGCACGCCGACACGCATATCCTGACGGTGGGCTCCTCGACCTACACCAGCGACCACAGGTTCTCGACGCTGCACAGGCAGGGGACGAATGAGTGGACCCTGCAGCTTAGGGACCCCACGAAACAAGACGCTGGCATCTACGAGTGTCAGGTGTCCACGAAGCCTGTGCGTGCACACATCGTGCATCTCAGAGTCGTAGGTGAGATGTCATGCAGGTGTCCACGAAGCCTGTGCGTGCACACATCGTGCACCTCAGAGTCGTAGGTGAGATGTCATGCAGGTGTCCACGAAACCTGTGCGTGGTCATGAATGTGTCCACGAAGCCTGTGCGTGGTCATGCAGATGTCGACGAAACCTGTGCGTGGTCATGAATGTGTCCACGAAGCCTGTGAGTGGTCATGAATGTGTCCACGAAGCCTGTGAGTGGTCATGAATGTGTCCACGAAGCCTGTGCGTGGTCATGCAGGTGTCCACGAAGCCTGTGCGTGCACATATCGTCATGCTATGATCGTGGCATGTGTTGCCAACGATTGTCGTGCCTATGAGATTTAGTGTCAATGAAGGTTGAAGATTTATTAAAATTGACAAAATGTTTTAAGCAAAATAGATATTCATTCAGTTTTTACGTACTATACATTATCCCACTTTTGTAATTTTCTCGCTGATAGGTAGGAACATATAGGATCATGTATCATAGTATCACATATAGTATCGTAGTATCATATATAGTATCATGGAACTAGCAACAAAGTTGATTGCTAAAAATGTATCGATATTTTACGAATATCGAATGGTCAGAAAATGTCATGTAAGCTTAATGAAAATTTTAACGAAAAAAATTGTTCACTGGGGCTTTTAGAACCAACCTTACGCATTTTTCGCACGATATCAACTGCTAATTTTATCATGCATTTTTGTATTATTAAAATATACAGTTATTTATGTTTCATTCAAATTATTTAGACCGTATATTTGAAGAACTGAGATAAATTTTCAAAACCGTCAAAAATGTGTTCTGAAAAAGCCAGCCGTGCTGGACATGAAATTCTGATCTCCAGACCGCTTGTGTCCAACAATCCGCTTAAGCACTTAGCGTCAGCGACGTTCTCTTGAAACTCTTATGCTGCCAGCATCCTTTTGAACGCCCTCTGGTCTTCAGCATTATTCTGACCACTCCAACGTCTTCTCAGCATTATCCTGACCACTCTTTCATCCTTCTCAGTACTATCCTGACGACTCTTTCGTTCTTCTCAGCATCATCCTGACCACTCTATCGGCCATTTCAGCATTTTCTGAACATTCATTTGACCTTCTCAGCATTTTTTAACGACTCCCTCACGCTGCTTAGAATTCTCTGACCTCTCCCTCATGCTGCTCAGCATTATTTTGACCTCACGCTGCTCAGAATTCTCTTACCTCTCCCTCATGCTGCTCAGCACTATTTTGGCCTCATGCTGCTCTGAGCTCCCCTGACCACTCCTGGTATACCCAGAGTTCCCTCTGAAACATTTAAAGTAGTCGAGCTCAAAGCTCCTTGCCTCTGTAAAAACATCAGTAGTCCCCGGCTTACTTCGAGTCTAGAAACTTTGTCAAGCTCATTGCCGAGCCAAGTTTCTACTGAACGCCAATATCGAACACAGTGACTTGACTGGAGGAACATATGCATATAGCATTTTTATATTTTGCATTCAAAATTACATTTCATTTTCTTATGCATAAATGCATATTGCATAGAAAGTTTTTAGTTAGTTTAGAAAATGTTAACTTTCATAGTTAGAATCACCAATAATCTCACGGTTATTAAATTCTGAAGCTAATTGCCTAGAAATTTTTAGATCTTTCGAATTTAAAATTATTTCAAACAGCTGGTTTGAATTTACCCTATAATTAGGGTAAATTCAATTATTAGACTATTATTAGTCAATTATAGCAAACTTTTTCTTCATACTGATTTGGTTTGAATGACGTATCAGCAATCCCTGTAAGAATTACATTAATTCCTTTTTTGCACAGCATCAAATTTTCCATATATTTATTTTGTCTAAATTCAGTCCCACTTATTATAAATGATGAATTGATTCAGTACAAAAATGATGTCGTAATTTTCAAATACGTAATTTTCAATTTAATAATAAATTGTCCACATAATTTTTTATGTCGAAGGCGTAACACATGAGGTAATTTTTAATTACTTCATGAATTTCCTAGAACATTGAAATCTTATATATATGTCTATAAATAAATCTTAACATATATGAAATTTACTTGTGTTTCAGTGCCATCAGCGCATATACTGAGCGCGCCTGAGCTGTACATCGATGAAGGCAGCGCTCTCAACCTTACCTGCGTCATCCAGCCCAGCCCCAGCCCTCCTGAGTACATCTTCTGGTACCACAGAGGCGAGGTATTACTGCATTATTATTGAGTATTATTAAGTATAATACATCCCAGCCCTCCTGAGTACATCTTCTGGTACCACAGAGGCGAGGTTTTACTGCATCATTATTGAGTATTATTAAGTATTATACCTTCCAGCCCTCCCGAGTATTCTGGTTCCACAGAGGCGCGGTATTACCGCAACATTATTGAGTATTATTAAGTATCATACCACTCAGCCCTCATGGATACATCTTCTGGTACACAGTATTACGAATGGCAAATCACTAATTCTAATTCTTGTCTATCGCACTTCTTTCGTTATTAAAATTTGATTGTTTTTATCTATTTACTCGTTTCATTTTAATATATTTTTCTTTGTATTGTGTTTTTCATTTGTTATTCTCGTTATCTTTAATTATTTATCTTATTTATTGTATGTATTGCAACTGAATCGGTAAATAAACAAGTGTTTACAATATTACAATATAGGCGCAACTTACATACTTTAATATAAACTCGACATAAAGCTAAAACACAACAGACATAAAACACATCATTGAATAAAATCTAAATTCTCTACTTCAACACAAACACACCTAAAACACATTCTACACACAATCATAGTCCAAACTCTAAAGCGCACAAAACACCATGCATAAAACATGAAGCTCACCCCACTAATTCTTAACATGTACAGAACACAAAACTCAATTTTCACGCGACAATATACAGTGAGATAAAAGACATACCTCACGTCGAGGTTCAGAGAGCAGCAGCACCGTTAATCAAACTGTACAGCAAATCCTGGAGCATTTCGTGAGCTGTCACGGAGAGCAGCTAATTTGAATGTGTCGAGCCACGCGGTGTGCGGTCGTCACACCAACATTCTAATCAAAACGCATATCAAGCCGGAGGAGGTACAAGCTATAGTATACGTGAATTTCTCACAGTATAATTCATACTGTGAATGAATATGAACATTCATGCATAATCATTCATTCATGCAATAATATTTGAAATAATAACTGATGCTTTCAAATGCGTGCACTAGGAAAAGAAATAACTAAATTTTCTTGACAAGTCGCTTGCTCAAAAGTCATAAATACTTAATTATGACCGAGGTAAATTATGATCAATTATCGATTTTATCAGAGATAACTAAAGCTTATTTGAAGGTACACCGCATTCTTATTGAATAAAAAATCATTATCTAATCATAGGCTTAGTGAAGACAAAGCCTGTACATAATTGAGGGTAGCCTGAATATTTTTTATTGTGGAGCAAAAATATTATATATTAGAAGCGCGTGTATTGCTCCAGACAATAAAAAACGAATAAGATTTAAATAAAAACAGCGCACTTGAATATGTTTAAATATAATAAATAAATTATTTGACTTATGGTTATTTGCCAGAGGGACCTAAAATTCCCTACTTTAAATAATTAATTGATAACTAATCTATGTACTAGATATTGGAACGAAAAAACGAAGAAGTGTATTTTTAAAATGAAGAATCTACATCGAAATTTCAGCTTCTAACTAATTTTTATATTTTAAGTATTCTAAATTATTTCATATGCAAACTGCACAGTTATTTCTGGAGCTCCAAAAATCTGAGCGAATTTTGAATTTAACAAAAAATGTATGGCAAAATAATTTTTTATATTGACTTATGTCCTACATAGCATTTGGTATCATGAAAAGGTGTTACTAGTTTGTGAAATGTGTACTAAAAATTCATTTAATGATGAGAAGCGATCAAAATGCAAAAGAGGGACGTGAAAATTGATCCAAAAATAACGACCAGGTTCAAGTTTTTCTCGACGGTCTTGTGGTTTATGTTGACGATGAGACCGGAAATTCATAGAATGGCTAGTCAGGTCACGTCTGCGTCTCTCTCTTTCTCTCTCTTCTCTCTGTTAAGATTAAAGTAGAAATTTACATGTTGTTCGCAACCTCATGCAATATATGGGGAGACCAAAGATCACGGTGTGTCTGCAGGTCTAAAAACAATACTCTAGAAAAATTAGTTTTCGAGGTAAATGCGAATTGTGAATATGATCTGAATTAATGAATCCTCACTTCAGTTTTATAAGTTTTCTCTCTAACATTGTTTGTCCATAATACATTCTCTTTTCATGGTTTGGTGATTATTGCACTATTAAACATATTATATAAATTTATTTCTTTCTTTTTTATTTGAAAAATAGCTCGTGAAAATCTTTTGTTCTTCTACGCCCACACGAAAATAATAGTATTAATATAAACTTAGAAATTATATTAAAATAACGAAAGAAATATATTTATTTGACAATGAGAATGGTTATGTTTTGAAACTGTGAGAGTTTCCATATTAAAAAATACATTTCTTTGGAGATAATTTGTACTATTTTCGTCACTTACACAAAGAGAAAAAATTTAAAAGAACCTAGTAATTTTTACTATGTAAAATGGTTCTTCCGTTTATATAGAATTTGGACCGCTACAGGTCAGACAGGAGTTGAATAGCTTAAACAAAATTCCGTTGTTATAAATCTCAGTTATTGGTTATTATCTATCTATTATTTATTTATTCATCTATTTCTCTATTTATCTTTGTTTGCCTTTCAATCACGTTCTTCCATATTGTTCATAACTTATATTACTTTCAATTTTGTCATTAACAATTTATTCTTAGTTTTCAGAAACAGTTACAAATATTGAACGAACCATTACGAGTCATACCGCTTTTTCTGATGCACCAGCATTTACTGCGATGTGCGTGAGCTTTAACTCTAGATTGAATAAATGAAATTTATTTGAATTGCATAAAATGTATACTAAATGGTGAATTGTTGCTTCTAGGGAACTTTTTTTCTGACTATGTGCATGAATAAATTTTTTTCTACAGCCAGAAGCGTTTACTGACATTCAGAATGGCTTGAACATAATTGAATGTGATTGCATGAAAGGCAAACGCTTCTATAAGGTGTGATTATTCCTGTCGTTATTTCCGTTAAAGAGCTCACAAAATCGGCCAAATGCGTCTCTTAACGACCTCAGTTCTCACCGAGCTACCGGAAAACTGAGATATGCATTGAAGTGTTAAAATAAAATTTGCTTTATTTGCATCTACGCGCTACCTAGTAAATTCAACAACGAACTTATACCAATTGTCTGGTGTTTCTATATGTTTTAATTTATTATTACTCGTCATTTTACGGAAAAGTTTTCCATTGGCTTTTTGTCGTAAATTTGATTCGCATTTGGTCATGCTAGCGATATTCCATGAAGCTATAGAAATCTAACGGCCGGAAAATTTCACAAGCTAAGGGTAATGGGAGAGAAAAATATCCGCGCAAATTTGTATCTATACTAATGGGAGACGTTTATGATGATCTCGCGTTGCTATGAAATTCGTGGGTTAAATGCACTCAGTTCAAGTGACAGCCAGCGTTACATTGGAGACTTCTTTGTAAAAAAGGAATGGAAGATGAAGAATCACTCACTGCTTTACCTACAGTGCAGTGCACAGGAAAATATTAGACATCGCTCTTTCTTAAAGAATGTTCCGACGTTAATAAGGAAATTAGGATGATTTTTAACGTAGTTTGGAGGTATCTATAATGGACGAAATGGCTTCCCAAGAAATTGATGAAATGAATAAGCTATTTGAAATTCTAGCTATGAATAGGGAGTACAAGTATTTAATTATGTCGTGTTGAAAAATCATTCTAAACATGTCATCTTGCCTATGTGGATGATAATTAAAAAATTGAATTTTGTAGAGGGACTTGAACTTAAACTTGTTCGTTAATCTTTATGAAATGCTAAATGACGAACATTACCGAGAATGGAGTTGTGTCAAGTCTCTTGATATTGAACTTCTTTTTTAAAAACCATACTCATAAGTACTGAAATTCAGTATTTGTGCTCTCAATTTTTAGCTGGAATAATGTTATTCAAACCCTCCGTGATGGGCAATAGCACAGACCAGCCAAGGCTCTGTACCATCAAGCTGTTGGTCCTGATGAGCTTTTGTTTTGACATGGCGTCCTTGGCTGGGTTATTTGTAACTGCGTTGGAGGAGCTCGGCTACTAGAAAATCTCAACGTCGATTACTAAAACGATTTAAAACAATCGGTGAACCGTGAACGTTTGATTATGGCTTATTCAAATTCCAATGTTGCATTAAAAAATTCCGATAACTTTGTTATTATTAGTGGTTGTTATTATTATTAATGGTTTCAGTAGAAATTTATTCAGCTTTTATTTAATGAGATTTACGGATCAAAAATGCAGTCAAATTTATTTCTTGCTACTAGTTGAATGAAGTGGACAAGGTTTGGTCTTGGTTTCGTCGTCAATATAAAGAAATAGAGGCAGCTGCAGCGTAGTCGGCGTGTACGTGAATCGCACGAAAGCTATGCCCCGTCGCCCGGGTTGTTTTGAAGCAGATAAAAAAGTTCACTCTAATTTCTGCTGACAAAAATAATATAATTCACTAATTTGCGAAATAATCAAAGGAATATAATTCACTAATTCGCGAAATAATCGCGATATAATTGGGAATAATTCAACAGTCAAATGAGAACATAATTACATTAAATGAAAAATCCACTTGAAGGCTGAAGTCAAGGCTCGTCTCTTCTTTCCTACTAAATTAGAGGTAGAGAGCGACTTAAACTCTTTCTTTACTTTAAGAAAGATGGGTATCTTAAATATAATTTTTAACATTTGAATTTTCAAAATCTCTGTCAATTAAATTTGTAATATTATCGGCTGAATTGCCACATTGCTCAGTCGAACAACAAATTGTAAGTAATACAGAAAGGAAGTCACATTTGGCGGATGAAGATTAAAGTAGATCTATAATATGGAAGATTGTATTTTGCAATCTCCCACTCTATTCTACAATCTCTTCTTCTTATTGTATTCACAATTACAAAGCTCTAATATTCACACTGGGGATGAATTCACATGCATGGGTACGTTAGTTCTACCAAAACAGGTTTGTTCCTTTGAATTTTAGCAAGCATCGTGATCTCCAGGAGCTGCTGTCTAACTCTGTAGGAGGAAAAAACTTCTCATATTTCACATTTGCCAATTCAGTCCCGACATTTGATTAAAAACAATTCATATCTTTGTTCCTTTTTTGGTCTTCAATTATCGGATTCCGAGCATGGATTACATTTCTGAAGCATGACTTGATCCCATATTTGCTGGCTTGCTGGGTATAAATGCTGCTGTGAATGACAACTGACTTTGTTTAATAACAATAGCCACAGTATTCACAGGGAACATTACAGGATATACAAGAGTAAAAATACCTTGCAATGCATATATGAAAACACATAACATCTAAATGGAACTGTAAGGGGGTGCGTTTCCTGTAAGAACCCTCAGTTAATTTATATAAATGACATGAAGTTGGGTTCGGAATGTGATAGTGAGACCAGGGTTATTGAGAGACAGCGTGACGATTAATAGAGTATTATTTGAAGATTACATGCGGCTTACAGTTTATAGGAACAGAGGTTTATGCCAGAGCATAAATACCACTGTTATCGGCTCGCCGATCGTTCGCTACTCATGACTGTACTTGATTTTAACATCATTTTAAAAAGGATAGGAGTAAGGGCTTACACACGACTGTTCTCCTGCGCCATATATTACGAAAAAATTTGAAAGAAAGCTAATTCCATACAATATTCTTGGGGTACATCCTCCACATCTGTTCTGGATCCAAATTATTATAACTTGAAAGAATTTTTATTCAGAATTATCGGTAATTGTTGCTGTTTATAATTTTGAGTTCTGGTATTCTCTTCATTTTAAGCTCCGTAAAAATCAACAGGTCCTCTGAAGTCTTCGAGAACAACCTGTTCCTTCAAGGACAGCTTATTACTTCGAGAACAACTTGTTCCTTCGAGAACAACTTGTTCCTTCAAGAAGAACTTGTTTCTTCGAGAACAACTTAGAACAACTTGTTCCTTCGAGAACAACTTGTTCCTTCAAGAACAACTTGATCTTTCGAGAACAACTTGTTCCTTTGAGAACACCTTCTCCCTTCGAGAACAACTTGTTCTTGAATTAACATTGATAATTTTTGCTCCCGTTTGATCTGAGACACTAAAACATTGAAATATTCTGTGGACTATAAAATAGCACTGTGATCATGATTCCAACTCATTGGTAATTCTAACCCTGTAGAAACCCAAGAAACCTTTTACCTCTATGCACGTACTACAACCTGCGCTCAGCTTTATGCAGGTCTACGAATAAGTGATTATTTTGAATCGTACTTAACGTATTTCAGGTTGGTGAATTTTTGAAAAGATAGTTAAAAATATGAAGCTTCGCATTTCATAATGGAAAATTACAGGAAAAAATATTCATGTAATCTTATATATTCTAAGTGAATGGACAGTGAATGTACTGATCCAAATATGTTAAGCTGCTAGCAATCCAGTATTTGTGTATCTTAATCCTAAATCTATTCTTTGTAATCTTAATAACTGTCCATAAAAGATTTGGTAAAAAGGCCAGTCTTTTAGATGTGTAAACTAGTCAAGAAAAGTACAGGAATCGGCGACAGGCCTATTCAGGCCTATTCTTTAGCACCGAAGATACTATACAAAACTAAACTTTACCATACTATACTATACTATACTATACTATACTCAGAGCTGGGCAGTGCTACTTTGAAATGTAGCGGGCGCTACCGCTACCGCTACACCCACTAGATTGTAGCGCCGCTACCGCTACCGCTACATGTAGCGCGCTACTGCCCACCTCTGGGAACAACTAACACGTTGACACTAGTAACAGGCTGAGGTTGACAACATTACACCAAAATCTTTCGTACGGTTTTATTCTGTAATTTATATTATGTATGTATCATGTTTTTTTTTAAATAATATTTAATACCATTAAGTAAAATCTAAAGGCTTTATCTATAAATGTAGCGGTAGCGCTGTAGCGGCAAAACCTCGTATCGCTACTTAAATATGTAGCGGGCGCTACCGCTACCGCTACAATTGCTTAAATGTAGCGCCGCTACCGCTACAGCTACTGAAAATGTAGCGGCCGCTACATGTAGCGCGCTACCGCCCACCTCTGACAATACTATACTATACTATACTATACTATACTATACTATACTATACTATACTATACTATACTATACTATACTATACTATACTATACTATACAATACTACTATACTACTACAGGGTTAAAATACATCGTAAACAGTTTCATCAATAGAAAATGTTGAACAAACGCTATAGCTAACTTATATAGTTCGCCATGGCGATAACGTTAGAGCTACATTTTCATATTCAATTCATCAAGAGTTGCTTGCATAAATCTACATAAATCACCATGAGAATTTTATTGTTTGCCACCGACCGACATTTCGATTTCTGCAAGAATATTTTCTCGGCCCCGCTTTGTTGGTCACTCAAGAAGGACAAACAAAAATTCAAATTGAAAAGCCCTCTTTGTTTGCTTTCGAATTCGAACTCCCCCTATAAAATTCACCTACACTAAAGAAATTAAAAACACCAAAACGGTCAAGACTGCGAACAATTTTTGTTGTGGTCGTAAAAAATGAATTTTGTCAAGGGACAGCAATTCAAATTTGAGTTCAAAAGTCTTGAAAATGTACTAAATTTTGCTTTGAAATATTTGATTTCAAGCCTTTTTTGTCTTAACGAATGCCTGCATTCAACAATACAACGTCCAGGAAAAATTGGTACTAAATTCTTAATTCTATAATTTTCTGTATAGCTTCAGAATTTATCCCCAAGTTCTCAGTTATAATTCCAGTACATTTCATAACATTTCGTCCTGCATTGCGCGATAAGAAGCTTCCCGAGCAGAATTATGGATGAAAGCTGCATACGGAACTGCATCCCGTGCTTGTTTTAGAAAAACTGTGCTTTCAATTTGGGTACAAAACAGGGTTAAGGATCGCGACTAAAGGACTTCATGTTGCAAATAAATTGAGTGAGTTTGTATTTCATAAAAAATTATATACGTATCTTCGCATACAGGATTCCGGACATTCCTTGTACAACTTGAAGATTTTCTAGTGTTGGAGGCATTTTAACGTTGTTATGGAATGAAAGATGTTCCAATTCCTTTTCGGCTTTCAGAAACTTTATGAGTGTTTTATAAAAACTCGCTCTAAATTAAGTAAAATTATTCTTGATATCCGTGTTAAAATTTAAAGTGGGTTCAAGAACAGGTACTTTACTCAATAATTTTAAATTTTATGATATTAATTACTAATGACTATATTTTTTGGAACAAAGACCTAACTTTGATCTGTAGATAATAATAATTTTTAATAATATTATAATTATTTTATTATAATAATAATAATAATAATCTAATAATTTAACAAATTTATTTATCAACGTTAAAGCCATCATCATTATGACTCGTTAAAAGTCTCCAAAATTTTCGCGTATTATTTACCGTAGGCCTAAATAATATTTTATTCCGATTTTTTAGAATTTTTTTCGAGTCTCCCGTCTGCTGAGCATATGTTCGATTCGAATTCGTGGCATATCGGTTCTGCTAATTGTACAATGTAGACATATTTGACCTTTCTTCTTCACTGTGCAGAAGTTGTTTGCATTTAGTTTTATTTCGAATTTATTAAAGAATGTACTCTGATAAAATTTGTGCAATTTCAGCATTTTTCTTGTCTTGTACATATATTCTGCTTTCTTGGCTTTAGGTTCATGTTATGGTAAAGAAAAATTTCCCATTTTTCAGTTTTTTTATAAGAAGAGTATTTATTTCCATATTGACTTCATTTTCAGTGTGACAAAAAGTTAGAACGTTCTGTACATTTTAGGTTTCAATCTAAATGTTCGATTTCTTCTCCAAATTCCTGATCTCCGTAGTGCATGAATATAAATTTGAAAATGTAATTGAAAATTTATATATAAATCGAAAATGAACAAACCGTGCAAACTTTTTGCCCTAAAAAATTAGGCAAATATGAAAATACCCACATTATTAGTAGAAGAAAGTAAAAAATCCAACATTCCTAATCTTCGTGATGCGTAATTCTTCTTAATTTTTCTCACGTCTCAGGTGATCAACCACGAAACCGACAGACGCGTGTCAGTGACAACGCAGCAGTCAGACCTGGACACGGTGTGCAGCCTTGTGGTGCTCAAAGCAACTCTAGACCACTCAGGCCGCTACCGCTGTGCTCCATCTAATGCCGAGCCTACGGAAATTATGGTCCACATTTTCAAAGGTGAGAATAGCAACAATAATTGAAATTTATGCCGAGCCTACTGAAATTATGGTCCACATTTTCAAAGGTGGGAATAGCAACAATAATTGAAATTTATGCCGAGCCTACTGAAATTATGGTCCACATTTTCAAAGGTGGGAATAGCAACAATAATTGAAATTTATGCCGAGCCTACTGAAATTATGGTCCACATTTTCAAAAGCGAGAATAGCAACAATAATTGAAATTTCAATCAAACTGGCTAGTGGATTATTTAATTAAAGTCAATACAGAAAAATAGGTTTAAAATAGGTTAAAATGAGACAGTGGTTGCAGTAAAAATAGTTTCGGCATTATCGATCATGATGGAAATGGTTTAATTAGTGCGGTGATTGGTATAATAATGGCGATGCAGCATATATGGGGTTATAGTCTGATTCGGTATGCAATTAAATATTATTCTATATGGGTATATCTATAGACTATGCCAACCTCAAATCAAGATGTCAAGATGCTTTGTCAGTAAACCTAATAACAACATTGAACGAATCACGAAACAAATCAAAGATTTTTTCTATCTACTTCATAATACTATAGAAACCTAAGATATTAGGTCAATTTCTTGGCACTTTACACATACTTGAGATAAACTCATTAAGTAGTACAAGTAGCAAAAGCAAAGAAGATGTACGATTTAAATGACACATATTGTCTTTAATTAACGATTTTACATTTCAGCTGAGGAGCCTGCGGCGATGCAGACCAGTGGCAGCATCAGCACGCAAGTTCCACCTACTTCCACAATCACTATCATCTTCATTACAACGATAATAATATATTCATCCTTTAGAATATCATATTTAGAAATTATTCAGTCTAGAAATATTCGTTCAACGCTAACATTTGAACCCCGGATTAAATCAAGTCGACGTGTAAACATAAACGGCAATCGGAATTTTTTGTATGAGTATTTAATGTCCTTAAATGTGTTGGGTTTCACTTCATTGCTCAACCGTCGTTATCATATCGAGTCCTGTTCTGTATAGTTTGCTGATGATCCGTCGTATATAGATTATATTTGCTGTATATTTGAATGTTTTGATTGATGTCAAGAACTTCGATTCCCGGTACGTTGCATGTAAAAAATCTCAACCTTATATCAATGTCATTATGTTACTTATATTACAAATCATGCACGAATTTAATATTAAATGTGATTCCAAGTCAATTCACTATATTTCATTCTATACATTTGTGAAACCAACTCGATCATCAGTTCAGAATTCAAAAATCAAATTAATAATTTTTCAGATATCGAAAACTAAATAGCCCGATCAACGAGTAAATTTATAATAAACTATTTACTATTTCAAACGAATTAGAACTGAAAGCGTTATTACAATTTAGGTAAAAATATACAATACATTAATATATTTAATATAAAATATATATATTTAATATATTTAATATAAAATATATATATTTTATATTAAATATAAAATATAATAAAATAATATTGATTAGTTTGTGTCCTGAGCACCAATTAAGGTGCAAACACACTAATGAAAATATGGTGATTTGTAATCGATTTCTTTAATTACTAGAACAGTAATGTCTGGATGTTGTTACCATATCTGTTGCATAAATTGATGGTTATAATGAAGTTTTTATGTCCGAATGTGACTTTTAAAAAGCAAGATCATGCATATCACAAACTTAATCCGTACGTAAAAAGCCAATTTGAAACTTTATAAATTTAATGATAGAGTGGCTATTCGTAACTTCCGTAGTCAGCGCTACGGCAACGTTGCGCTGTTCGTAATTGAACAAATTATGAACAAAAAGGTACTAATTGCAGCAAAAGTCTGAGGGCGCTCCTCTAATTGACAGAGATATTCGATAGCGTGACAGGGATTAATTAAACAACTTTTATAACATCACTTAACTACCGTCGAGCTGCAATCTAACAACTGCAGTAAAGTGTGAGTTACTTGTTCGAGAATATAGGTTAGGGCCACCAACATGTATGCATCAGAGATCACTGACAGAAGTGTACAGCTTCCAGTAACTGAAGTGGTGCAGCATCCAGTAACTGAAGTGGTGCAGCATCCAGTAACTGAAGTGGTGCAGCATCCAGCAACTGAAGTAATGCAGCATCCAGTAACTGAAGTGGTGCAACATCCAGTAACTGAAGTGGTGTAGCATCCAGTAACTCAAGTGGTGCAGCATCCAGTAACTGAAGTGGTGCAGCATCCAGTAACTGAAGTGTTGCAGCATCCAGTAACTGAAGTGGTGCAGCATCCAGCAACTGAATTGGTGCAACATCCAGTAACTGAAGTGGTGCAGCATCAAGGAACTGAAGTGGTGCAGCATCAAGGAACTGAAGTGGTGCAGCATCCAGTAACTGAAGTAGTGCAGCATCCAGTAACTGAAGTGGTGCAGCATCCAGTAACTGAAGTGGTGCAACATCCAGTAACTGAATTGATGCAGCATCCAGTAAGTGTAGTGGTGCAGCATCCAGTAACTGAAGTGGTGCCGCAGCCAGTAACTGAAGTGGTGCAGCATCCAGTAACTGAAGTGGTGTAGCATCCAGTAACTGAATTAGTGTAGCATCCAGTAACTGAAGTAGTGCAGCATCCAGTAATTGAAGTGGTGCAGCATCCAGTGGCTGAAGTGATGCAGCATCCAGCAGCTGAAGTGAAGCAGTATATAGAATCTAGTGTGAAGCAGTTGTCCAGTAACTAAAGCTGCCCAGTAATCAACAGCCGCATGTGAAGCAGTGATTGAGTAAACGGAATACAGAATCAAGAACCTGATGCGAAGCAATGATCCAGTAGTAGAACTAGAGTAACATAGATGCATTTAGCGATTGAAATGCTGCTCAAAATTCAATTGCGATCTTTGATGGCAGTCCCGAAGGGACAGCATAAACAGCAGACTGAGGAGCGCACACCGATCATGCATCGCACTAAAGAGGATGATTGAGAGAACTCACTTAAAGGGGAACTCATGCATTTCCTTAGCCAGAACATTTTCAAATGATGGAAAGTTTCATTGCGAACTCCACATAACGAAATTAATGTTCGAACGTCCGTAGGGGCGCACTCAAACAAATCAAGATCATGCAAAAAGAATAATTGTTGTTCGTTACACCCTGACATTCATGTTATTTTATGGAGGTCTCCCACATGTGAAACGCACATTCATAGTAAATAAATAAAAACAACAAAAACATCAAGGTAATTGCTCATAGATCACCATTTTAATTTATTGTAAACTATCGCTAAGTTTCATGTCTAAAGCTCTCTCAAATTTTATTTGACGAAACATTGAATTCTTTTTTCAGAGTAATATATTTGCAAATTGTATACAAGTTTCGCGACTGTAAAAACAACATACAGAAATTGTTGGCTTAAAAATAAAAATTTGATTCAGCTTCTCCGAACATTTCTTCAGGTAGGCAAATCTCGTAACTCTTACTTCATTCATAATCGAGATATTCATTGTGAGGCAGTGAACTTACCTGAACCAAAAATATGTTTAATTTTAAATTATAGAATTGATAATTTATAACGCGACTTCAATGAAAAATTACCAGATTTTCGAATGTTTGGTTTGCTCATAGTTGGATGATTGAAAATATCATAATAAGATGCGTTATCTCATTGAAAAATGTAGGACATTCCCTTCCATATTAAAAAGTAAAAATTTTGGCTATTTGATGCTTTATGACGTTAGCATACAAATTATGTGAACATTCATTATGTGAGGTTTTAATTGAAATTAAAACCTCCACTCGAAAATTTACTATGGATAAGAACACAGAAATTTACAATAATTTAAATATACAGAATATGGCTCCAAATTTCTTCGAGAATGGAATGCATTTCTTTCACAGAGTATCTCGTCCATGTTATATGCGAACTACCCTAGGAAAATTTAGATGCGGTCGAGATTCTGCCTCAGGTTCTGCCTAGGACTCGGCAAACGTGTAAATCAGCCGCTGGATCTCTGCATTAGATTCTAATTTCCGATCCCAAGACAGACCGCTGTACGAGACTCTCGTTCGAAACTCTGGCACGGAACATTATCTCGGGTTTGTTACATATCACGATAGTTGCGGCCGAGTCTGACAAGAGGTTGAAATAATTTCCTACATCTTTCTTCGTGGCAATCGACAGAAGGGAATTTTCTATGATTCGTTACTTATTTCAAATGTCTTAATTGTGCTACAACTCGCTTCATATAAAGAGCATATAAAGAGTATACAAGTAATAATTCCCTATGTAATAACTCCCGGTAATAATTCCCTTTGCAGAGCTAAATTCATTCAAAGTCAAAGAAATACTCCAAGAACAGGTTGGTAATTGTTATTTTTTCAATCTTTTGCTCAACGGAAGAACCAAATATTGAGAAATCTCTGTCTTATTTCACAATGATACCGAAATATTCACAAGCCACTGAACGAACGAAAATGTACGCACATTCACAAGTGCATTCATCAACAACATTCTGTGTAAGGACAGAGTTAGCCCTTGACGGCTTTTTCGCTAAGCTTGAACTGTAGCGCATGAGCTGCTTATATATTCGGTACGACTTGGCCTGACCAACCCTTGTCATGCTCTCATGAATCGTTGAAATTCATCAGGAAAGTCCATTTCAGCAGCTGATTTCACTCTAGTTTTTGCTATGGTGGTGATATTTCACTCTCACTTGTCATGCTATCATGAACCTTTGAAAATGAAATTCACGAGGAAAGTCCATATGAGGCCGGTGAAGCCATAATTAAGCAGGTCTCAACGATACAACTCCCATGCGGTGTTCAGCAGCTGATTTCCCTCTGGTGATTGAGCAGGGTGAGGAAAACTCAAACACGAATGTGGCGTCTCCAACTAGACGTCTCCAACTAATTTTGTTAACCGGCAAATGGTCGATCGAAAACTTGTTCTCAATTCTTGGTCGATATCTAAAATTAAACACATAGTGAGTGTTTAATTGCCAGCAAAATATAGATGCTTTAATCTTTAATGTATTAAATGGAACAAACTTTGTGTAAGTCAGAAACCTCAAAATTATCTCTAAAAGTTTTTCATCGTACCATCGTCTCTCTACAATTTATGTTATTGAGAATTATAGCGTGATGACACATTTAAAAGCTTCACGCATTTCCCATAGTTTACGTCATTCAATTTTGCTTGCAGTTATATAGATCATTTTCTCGATTGACTAGGAGTATTATTAACTTATATGAGTGCCATTCACTCCTAGTTAACACGCATTTTTTACTAGAAATGCAATTTACTGCAAGTTAATTTATTTTAAATTCCTTCATAGATTTTCTTACAATGCTAACGAATTCTTTTTCTAGAAGCCAATAAATTGTAACAAATACTTAATATTGTCGATGAAAATTTGAGTTTTTATCAATATGGTGTACTTATTGTAGTTAAATTTCAATAGTGTGAAAAAGTAAAGAAATTAACCCTCTTCTCCACTTAGGTATTCAACACGACTCCTGGGTCTATACTTTCAATAAAAGTTACCCGATCGTAAGTTCATCTGCCAATCATTGATGGTCTTTCAAGCAAAATCCGCCAATCATAGACAAGAAAATAGAGCGTAAGTGCTTACGTTCACTTAGCGAATTTTGAAAGTATGGCCCCAGGGCGGCATGAAATAGTTTTAAAAATTATGTCGGATTGTACATCTGCATCATAAATGTGTATTTCAAAGAATCGCCAGTGTATTTAATTAAGGAACTTTGTGAATTTTGTAGAAATAAAAATCTAATGTAATTTTTTCCATTTTTGCTCCTTTCAGCTTAATTTAAATAAAAAACTAAAAGAAACTTTATCAAATCTGAAACTAATGCATTCAAAAAAGAGCATTCTTTTAAATAATTGATTATCTTACATATATCTAGAATTCTTATAATATTAAAAATGTATTAAATTTAATAGTGAAACTTTCAATGCAGTGGAACGTTCGCACTCGCACAAAAGGCATTGTTGCCTGATAAGCTGCAACAAAGCTACACCTCTTCAACAAGATAGAGCCGAATTTGAATAAGAGGATAGATAGAGCCGAATTTGAATCCAGGAAAAAATATAAAATACTGAGGGCCGTGGCATATCAATACATGGTGGATTTAAAAAAACACTAGACCTGTACTAATGAACAAATGCGTGTTTTATTTATCTAGTTCGCTGCTATTTTGAAGCCGTACCATAATTATTTCAGTTATGTTAGTTACCGTTCTATTATACGAAACATAATAAGCTCTCGCTAATAAGCATCCTGTTTGAGCAACAAACATAGCGAATCGTAATTTTTTTTAAGTGTTTAATTTCGTTTAAATACAACGTAAACCCGCAATATACTCATGCTATTGCGTGTAATCAAGCAAAAA